AGTTATCATGCTTGATTACTATTGGGCATGTAGACCACATGTTGCTGTGTCATGTAAATTCTTCTCGAAGTGCCTCTTTTCTAAATATACGTCTAGAAGCGACTGATCTATCTTTGTATCTGTATATTTCTGTGTATCTAATCTAAGTATTTACGTCAAATTAAAAAATGTAACTATCTGACTTTTCATTCAGTTGCCAACATACATATTTAAACTTGATCTTTCCGTGTTTTTTCTAATGATCTTGTCCGTTTGCTCGCTGACGTCTTGGACTTAGGCCCGATATACGAAATTATTTATAAACTCATCTTACTTCTTTATCCGACATTAGACGATTCGTAAGGAAAATGTGACAAATGTCACATTAATAAGCAGACGAAAGCAAGTGTTTCCTGTACAAGTCCTTTAGAGCTGACGCTTCCGCATCTTACACCCAACTATTTTTATAATAAACCTTTTTGAATACAGCGAACAGTAAGGTTTCATCTTCTCATCATCATACTGTCGTCAGTCCGAGAACTGGTTGAAGTCGCGCACCTTCTTCCTATTGTGAGCAAATCTTCGTGTTTCCCTGAAAGCGAACATTAAACTAATCCAGGCTTTTCTTTGCCCTTCTTTATCCAGAAAGGATCATACCATCTGATCTCTCCCAACTGATTTCCATAGCGCCCTTTATTCTCATTCTCTTTTTAATACCTCCTCATTTCCAGCGTTTTCTAGGCATACATTTCAACCGCTTGAATATCAAATATATGTTCCATACTCAGTTAATAAATTGTANGAATCTAGGGGTAGTTTCTTTAGGAGACGCCGCAATTCGAATAGGAGATCGAAAAGTTTAGGAAAAGTAATAATCAAAATTATGAAATATTAAAAAAACGTATTCATATATAAGGGTATATACGCCGCTCACCCGTAGAGGCGCATCTTCTCTCTCTCTGGACGCGGGGTGTGGCACTACCACAATGAGTCCAGGAAGACTTTCTGCCTGGGCCCCTCGTCCATTCACAGTATCAATTTCCGTCACTCGCCGCTCACCCGTAGAGGCGCATCTTCTCTCTCTCTGGACGCGGGGTGTGGCACTACCCGTCACTCGCCGCTCACCCGTAGAGGCGCATCTCCTCTCCCCCTGGACGCGGGGTGTGGTGCTACCACAATGAGTCCAGGAAGACTTTCTGCCTGGGCCCCTCGGCCATTTACAGTATCAATCTCCCTCACTCGCCGCTCACCCGTAGAGGCGCATCTCCTCTCCCCCTGAACGCGGAGTGTGGAACTACCACAATGAATCCAGGAAGACTTTCTGCCTGGTCCCCTCGGCCATTCACAGTATAAATCACTGTGGTACGATGTTCCAGAACAAAATCGGCCAGTTAGATCCCAAAGGGAACGCCACTTTCTTTAATCCTTCACATATAGAAGAGGGGCCGCACTAGTGTTCATCGGACGACTCATTGTCACATACAGGGCTGCATGACGTACTCACAGTCGTTCTCTTTTGCTTAAATCTCTATTAGTATACTCACCACATTTGATGTGAAACCGCATACATACAAAACTAATTATGACAATCAGTCGCCATACTTAACCATGTAAGATACGCCAAAAAATAATGCATTTTCTGCAGAAATTATAAGTGAGTTAGTCAAAGCTTTTGCTGCCATTTCTTTTTTGATTGGTTCCTACAGACCACATCGATTACGTAACCGTAATCTCCCAATAATCTTTGGCATGTAATACCATTGGACGGGACGTTTCGTGTTTCAGATTTTTTTTTGTAATTACTGGAATCCACTAGATACTTTATAATCCTTTCTAAGGTCGCGGAAAATTGTCACTTGTAGGTTTTCTTTTTGTTCTGGCAGCATGATTTTCAACCAGCATAAATGCTTTGTGTTCACGTAGTATTCCATATTAGAATATTATTTTGTTTGAACTCCAAACGGAAGTGTATACTATATATGTACTTAGAGTGGATTGGTTTGGTTTGGAAAGAACAGGGGGATGTAATGAGTGCTTACGAACATTTGTAACAGACCGTAAAGTCCCGAGTTTAATTGACGGATTCGTGGTCGTTTTTCTTGGTTAATTTCCGTGGGAATTGTTTTGTCTCGTTTAGCACTGTCGGAAACCATAGGCGTCTAAAATACCATCTGATAAAGCTATTACATACATACATATATATGAAGTATGTATTTGTTTGCGTTGTATCGTCAAAATGTTCAGAGAGATAATTTTACAGATAAAGTTCTGCCTACCGGATGACTACGATTTCCTTATATATTGCATATTTAGAACGATTTAGTAGCTAAATTTTCAAATATAATCCGTATATGCCTATAATCACATTCCGAAGGAGTTGGTCTCAGTAGAATGGGCTTTTTTTTAAGCAGATGATTAAATAATTAAATCTTAAATATTTGAATACTTACCTATTGTTTCTTTGTAAATTTTCTGGAAAATATAGACACCAATAAAGTAAGCAAATCCTTAATATATTTTCGTTTCATCGGTACATTTTGTTGCCATTAAAGACTTGAAGAATGCAATAAAATAAAGAAAAATATATCTATCTACGAATAGAAGAATGAAACATTGGTGTAATTTTTCATTCTGAAGCCTGCCTAGTCTTGGCTGAGAATTCAGACGCATGCATCAATGGGTTTCCATTTGATATTAGTGAAAGACAAGAAGTAGGTACGCGAAATTGAATGAAAAGATTGTATGTTGTGATAGCGGATCCTGCAAGAAACAAGGATGATTAATATTATTCTTTTTAGGAAAGAATTTGTTGAATAAAACCGCTACTGCTTTCTACCTTGTCTTGATTAAGACAATTGTTTGTAAATTGACATCAGCTTCTACTGCTCGTCTGTCAAACAAATGTTTAAAATTGAAAGGCTTGGTATTGGCAGTCTGAAGAATGTTGTCCTTTCTACTATGATCATTATTAATTATTTTTTATAGTTGTTCATGATAACTGTTTATAAGTATCTCTATTTTCGTGCATAAAAAGGCGTTATGGACAACGATTTTCATACGATCCCATATTTTATATCCATTTATTTGAGTAGCAACTTTTGTTTTCGTTAACGTCAATCGAAAACGAAACGAATGATTTGAAATTCGGTTAGTAAAGAATTATAAATCGAAGAAGTCCTTCCAGTTTCGCAGTTTCGGCTGTTAGCACGACAAGTTTTTGTTAGTAGGTATTGAATTTAAAAGATTATTGTAATTGTTCTGTTGCCATTACGAAACCGTGTCGAAAAGATTACTGACTACTTTCGATTTCATTTTGATGAAACTGATGTTTTTCGTAATTTGTCACAAATTTTCGAATAAACATCGAAAATACTGATAGTCAGTCGCATCTAAAAAAGTACATGCGCTTTTATATTTATGACTACCAATTAGTTAAGCAAAATTATCGTGTAATTGTTGCGTTGAATTTCTAAATTCGCATATCCAAACTATGGTCTTGTTGAATTGTTTTTTTATACATATAAGCCTTACGTGGTAATAGCCATAAAACTGTAATGAACCGGCACTTGATGTTAGAATTGTTAAACAGCATCATTGTTCTTTGTAAAACAAACGCTTTTCTTTCGTTTTCATTTTGGCTGTTCCTTTGCGTATGTGTCATAATGGTAAGAAACAATAAATAATTAAAACACATTTTGAAATACCGTAACAGTTAGCTATTGTTTTTGTACTAATTGTAAAATGCCCACGATTGTTTTTTCGTCATATTGTCTGTTGGTACTTATGTGTAACATGTACTGACTGAACCTGATATTTATAGATATTTAAAGTGTTCTCTCAATGTTAACAAGGTCAGTATCTTTTTTGCGAGATCGATTTAAAACTGAACAAGTCCTACAAGTTGAGGAGAGAGGATGGTACCAAATAAGGGTCGCACCTTATATGGTAAAGATGTCGGCTACCACCTGTCGCATATTAACTACACCATTATAAATAGGTTAAGGGATCAATTAAGAAATTGGTTTATACACAGAAGCTTGTATGAAGTAAATAGCTTTCTATGGTTGGTAGAGGTAGTCGTTTAAGTTTGAAACTCGTTAAGAATTCTTACTAGACTCCAAATACATTGTAGGAAAAAAGCGCCTTTAAGAAATTATTATAGTTCAGTAGCAGTTAACGTATTTGATTTTAATGATCGTTATGCGTTGGTCATTCTTTTAACATTCGTCCATAGGAGTAGTCTGAAGGTTTAACGGCTTCTCGTAATTGTTAGCCTATAATTTGTTTAAATCACCAAGTTTATTGCCACTGTAAACAATGTAGGTACGCTAAAAGTTTGATGATTTTTAAAGAGAATCAAGTTTTTCTATAGAGAGCGATCGTTTATTTTACTTTTAAATTTTAGTGTTCTGATTTCATAACCCCGACGCCTTTTTTTTACAATTTGTTGCGCCTTTTGTACATAAAACTAGTTGTTGATAATTTGAAGAAAATTACTTGGGTGTAAAGGAGCGTATCGAAGGTCACCTTTAAAAATAATTTCGGATGCAACGAAGCAGAGGTGGTAGACATACTTTGTGTAACATGTGATTGGTTCCTAACTGGAATTAACGAATCGACACCGAGGTGAGGTGTCTTATGTGCAGTGTTTCGTTATTGAATTGATCGGATTAAAAAAATGCTTCTTCTTGTACTGGCTTAAGTCGGAATGAATATACTTTTTGTAACGGTCACGCCCGGAACATGTTAAATTCTACTTTGGTTAGCGATTTCCTTAACTAGGTACGCGAAGTTTTTGCTTCAATTATACCTTTGTCACGAAAATTCGGAGTTGTTCCAAAGCCAATATGTCTGACGCTACATAAAAGATGAGGATTTACCCTACGTGTCTCCATTTCCATTACCTCTATCCTCAAAACTCCTCCAATTTGCTTTTTGAATGCATCGACACACTAGAAACAAAAATAATTAGCTAGCTAAGTTTTAAACTTGCTAGATAACCGTTCTATATTCCGTTTCAGGAGCGGGGATGGGAATATAAGCAGATAACCATCACAAGGGTTCCCGGTTATGGTTTCGGTATAGCTGTTTCCGGTGGAAGAGATAATCCTCATTTTGCTTCAGGTGACCCCAGTATAGCTGTCAGCGACGTGTTGGCCAATGGACCAGCAGAAAGGCTTTTACAGTACGACGCTCCACGTTAAAGGAATACCTTACAGGATTTTTTAAACATTATTTTTTTAATTTCCAGCGTTAACGACAGAATTTTGTCAGTTAACGGTATATCGCTTCAAAATGTGGATTATGCCACCGCAGTTCAGGTATTGAGGGACTCGGGCGACACTGTAGTTTTAGTTATTAAAAGGAGGACAGTCAGTCACCATCATAGTCACAGTTTAGGGTCAGGTCCTCCTCTTGCTGCTCTAGGAATCAACCCGTTACCTCCTAAAATTACGCTTACAAAAAACTCAAAAAAGGAAGGTTAGTTTCAAGGCGAAACCAAATGATTCACTTGTTAATTACCATCTACAAATGTGTCCTTGTAGATTTTGGAATAGTCCTGGGATGTAAATTGTTTGTCAAAGAAATATCATCAAAAGCCCGCGAGCAACTTCTGAGTACCAATCAGGTACTTAGCGAGGGCGATTTTATAACCAAAATTAACAATACGAATTGTAACGACATAATGTCGCTGAAGGAGGCAAAAAAAATTATTGATAGTTCCAAAGAAAAATTGCACCTCACAGTTCTGAGGGATTTCACAGGCGGTGGTAATCAAAACATTTCTCATCAAACGCAAAATTCGTTCAGTAGTGTAGGGGCCGTAAATAATTTTTACAAGGGTGAGAACTTTTTCGTCTCTTTTACTTTATTGAATACTCTTATCGCTGGAAAAAATTTCTAGATGACTTCTTGACCTCGAGTCAAAGTTATTCGAATCAAAATTTGTACGTACAACCTCCGACCAGGAACCCGAATCTCAATAACAGTAACGGGGGTTTCGAGGACAAAAACGATATCAATACTGGTCCCAATTCGTTGCCAGACGATAAAAACAATTTGGCGCCCAGGGGTAGGCTTAGGCAACCCTTAAGCGAAGCTAATATGAATCAACTGAACAAAAACAGTTTAGAAGGTTATGGAAGATCAAAAGGTAGAGAAGAACCCCCCAGACCACCACCTCCTCGCCCTGAAGGTAAAACCTTTAAGAAAGGGGTCTAAAAGTCTTTGGTACTTAATCTTTTGTTTTTGTTCAGATTATTACAGCAGTAGGCAATTATATGATGACGATCCTATAATTCAAAAAAATCGACAGCCAGTGTAAGTGCTTCGTATTTTTCAATTTCAAGGGTGTCTGTATGATATAAGATATTTTTAGGCCTGATGCAAGGTACATTACTTTCCATAAAGAAGGATCTGTGGGGATACGGCTTACGGGAGGTAATTTTGTGGGCATATTCGTTACAGCGGTCCAACCTGGCAGTCCTGCATCTCTACAAGGATTGCAACCAGGAGATAAAATACTCAAAGTAAATAATTCCTCATAGTTCGTTAAAATTTTTGCTAATCGCTGGTAATATTGTATCAGGTAAATGATATGGACATGTCAGGTGTGACAAGGGAAGAAGCGGTCTTGTTTCTATTAAGTCTCCAAGATCGTATAGAACTCATAGTGCAATATTGTAAAGAGGAATACGATAGTATTGTGGCGCAGCAGAAGGGTGACAGTTTCTATATCAAAACTCATTTCCATTATGATAGTCCTGCGAAAGGGGAAATGAGTTTCAAGTCGGGAGATATTTTTCATGTGATCGACACCCTTTACAACGGAGTGGTTGGGTGCTGGCAAGTTTTCAGGATTGGTGAGTTTTAATGATACTCGGGAAAGAAATCGTCAAGTATTTTATATTATTATCACATGCTTAGGACGCAATAATCAGGAGGTCCAAAAAGGAATAATCCCTAACAAAGCAAGGGCAGAAGAACTTGCAACGGCACAATTCAATGCCACGAAAAAAGAAATGTCTGCAAACGAATCTAGGGGTAGTTTCTTTAGGAGACGCCGCAATTCGAATAGGAGATCGAAAAGTTTAGGAAAAGTAATAATCAAAATTATGAAATATTAAAAAAACGTATTCATATATATAATTATCCTTTAAGGAACATTGGGACGATATCTTGTTTTCTGACACAGTCTCCAAATTTCCGGCATACGAAAGGGTTGTTCTTAAACATCCCGGTTTTACCAGGCCGATTATTCTTTTCGGTCCTGTGGCCGACGTGGCCAGAGATAAACTACTTAAAGACTTTCCCGACAAATTCATTTCACCCCGTAAGTTATAAAAAATGAATAAAATTAATTGGTGGGTTCCAAAATCAGCATTTGTTATAGAACTCGATTCGAGCGTGGAAGATGCTAAATCTCATAAACTGTCTTCAAATATTATACGATTGTCTGCCATAAGGGAAGTTATTTCCACTGGAAAGCATGCGTTATTGGACATCACCCCCAACGCTGTAGAGCGATTAAACTACGCCCAATTATACCCTGTCGTTGTATTTTTTAAGGCCGAAACCAAAATGGTAGTGAAGCAAATGAGACAAGGACTGCCAAAGTAAGTGATTTCTTTCAAAGCAAGAACGGTTTACATTCCTTTACATTCCAATATTTATTACATCAATCCGTGATTGATTTTCGATAGATCCGCTCATAAAAGTTCGAAAAAATTATTGGAGCAGTGCCAGAAACTAGACAAAGTGTGGAGTCATATATTCAATGCTACCATAATTTTAAATGATAATACTGATACTTGGTATAGGAAGGTTAGGGAAATTATCGATAAACAGCAGAGTGGACCCGTTTGGATGAGCGAGAGCAAGGTAGGAGAATTTATTTTTTGGGGATATTCATTTTGGGATTATTCTGGTTTTGGTATCTACTGGTATTTTACTAGCAAATTTGTAAGGTTATCTATCTCATGGGAATTACTAACGGTTATGGGTTCTTCCGCCCCGTTTTGTTTTCAGCTTGCCGTTGACATGTTTTCGGACATCTACTTCCCAATAAAATCCCTCACGCGTCCCCGCAAAGCCCAGTCTTTACCCCGTCAAACGGTCCCCTCCTACTACCGACGTCCCAGCCGCAGAACCGCCCACCTGTCCATGTACAACACAACACAACCGCGATCTCTCCCTCGCGACCTCTACGACCCCTATTATTTCCTACCATTTCACTATGCATCGAGCGAATGTAGCATTTGCAACTGTCCCATCCGTTACAACAACAACAACAACACCAACCAAAATGGAAATATCGTCCATGCAAGTACAAGTTTTCGAAACAAGTGTTTTGGTTTACCGAATAACAATAACACCGTGCAAACTTTAATGCGTGAGTCTGCTAATCGATGTCGTGACAAAACTAATGCATGCTCTAATAAGCTTTTGGGTGAATGTGAAATTGCTGGTAGAGTTTTTGATGTAGAGCTTAAAGCTTTCCGAAACTCTGTTGTTTCGTTAGAATCAAACAGGAGAAGGAGCTTGGATCTTCCATTGGGAAATAGTTCCCAATGTGTAGACAATAGATCTTTTAGACCTTTTAGTAGTTTAGGGAAAAAGAGACCGCAGCAAATGCAGTTAGAACCAACTCCAAATACTTTTACTACCAATTACGTGCTCGAAAAACCTAGTGATATTAAGGCGGTTTTTGAAGAGAAATTTCTTAACGAAGTTAAAAGCAACGAAGATGCAGAACCCATCTACTACGATTGCGATTCAAATCAAAAAGAGTTGGCTCTAAAAAAACACGTAAAACATGATATTAGATCTCTCACAATTCGGGAGGAATCTTATGGAGATATATAACGAATGTAGAGATTTGTCTGGATTAAATGGTTTTTTGTTTTGTTTTGTTTTGGTAGTACTTAGGTGTTTATAGTCAATAACAGTTGCGTGTGTTAGTGGTATTACTGCTAATATTTTCCCGCTGTAAATAGCTTCTTTGTGTGTAGGGTAAATGTCGTACCAACTAACTTGTTTCACCACGAAACCTTAATCGCTATTAACAACGATCGTTCTGTACATCGCATTTTAGCCCGAAGAATCACTATCCGATGACTTCCTATTCCCTATGTCTTCGTTACGTCTTTCATACGCCAGCAGTCCCGAAAGCGACCTGGAGCACAGTCCCGGCCCTCCTAATTCGCCGGGACTCTGCACATCCGGAAACGGAAACGGGGGCAGGTTGACCAAAGCCAGTTCCGATCCGAGCGTTGTCATGCCCGATAACAGCACGACCGACATTCTACCTCCGTACCAGGTACAACAATTATTCAAGCATAGTCCCTTTTAATCTAGCGGTTATTGATTTCCACTTTTTGTTATTTGGTATCCTCAGCCCACGTACGACACACGTTACGGGTTTTCAAATAAGTCCCAGGATCAACTCAGTCCGAACGCAGGTCCTAATGACTCTAAATATTTGGGGCAACCACCCAATTCGCAGGACATTCCCGGCTCTCTAGATACTCAAAATCCTTATAAACAGAGCGGCCTTTATGGATGTCAGGACTATTCGAAAATTGATTACAACAGCAAGGGCATAGCCGATTCCAGAAATGAATTTTTGCTCAAAGAATCTATCGGAGATTCCGGGAGACCAAATAACGACTTCCGGAACGAGTTCGTTAAGGAATATCAAAAGGATCCTAGGAACGATTACGTAAAGGATTTGAGAGGAGAGCAGAGAAATGATCTGCAAAATAACCAAAATAGAAACGACTTTAACCATAACGAACCGCACAAAAGACAGAGTAGTAGTCTTCATGGTAATTTCAACCATTCGAAAGGTCACAGCGTGAGTGACCAAAGCACCAGGAGCCCTAGCGGCGAAAGGATGTTCTCCAATGTGCCCGACTTACCTCCTAGAGTTGACAGGGCAATCAAACCTGTTGGTCTTCTAACCACTTCCAATAAAACTCCTAGTGGGTATGTACCTACAATAAAGTAGAAAATTAAATGTAACTTTCTGCATTTTCCTCTGTTTCGACAGGAGATCTGCTCACGAAAGATTATTCGGTACAAAGGCTCCAGGTCAGGTTGATAATTCGGATCAAAATCCGTCTTCGAAAGGGGGATCTTTAGAAAGGAGCGTAAATTCCAATTCCAAATCGGTATGCCGTTTGGTTTTATCTGCATATTCTTTTTCTATCTTTCCGCTTCCTTATAGGATTCACTTTCGAGTTATGATTCGTTTAAGAATTCAAACGTGCCTAATACGAGGATAATTCCTAACGCTCACGATGATCTGAAAACGACATTATCGAAAATCGAACAGGAGCCCACTATGCCCAGCAGTCCCCCGAAGTATGGTTCTAGATGGGACCAGAACCATCACAGACACGACAGACTCGGTTCGAAATTAGACTTGAAATATTCGGTAGGACCTAATTGTTCCAATAACGATCTGAATATAGACGCCAGTCCTAGAAATTCCAGAGAATTGGACAAGGACCCCAGTCCTTCGAATACTTTAAGTCCCAGATCGTCAACAGAAAGAGACAGACACGATATGTATAGGTAAGACATACATGTCTCCACGAACAAAACATGAAGGATACATAGTCGTATTTACATTTCAGATCCCCTAGTAAGCAACCAGTTCCAAATAAAATATACATGGAAACAAAAACTGATTACGGAAAGTACAGGTGTGTTTCCATAATATCCATATATAGCTTTCCTTGGTTTAATTCAATTTGTCGTCTGTTGTCGTTTATTTTTGTCTTTAGCAGAAACAATAACACTTCTCTGCCCGAATATGCCCGGTCTTCGCATCAGGATTTGAGCCAGTCTCATCTCAGCGTACACCAAATGCCTCCTCATCAACACTCACCAATGAAAAATAATCATTTCGGTCATATGAACGGTTTCGACAACGGTCCCCCAATTAGCAATACTAATGGACCTCCGAACGCGTACAAACCGATTCCACCACCCAAACCAAAAAATTACAAACCGCCTTATAAAAACGAAAACTTACAGCCCCCCTTACCCTATCAACACGGAAAGAGTCACAGCAATCCAGTGGTAAGTCACTTTAAATCCCACCCTCTACTAGTTTGCCACAATCGCCACTAACACAAGTTATTAAGTGCAGTGAAAATGAAGTGGTAAGAAATATGAAGATTTTAATGTCAAGTGAGTACCTAATCCGTCCTATCCATTCCTCTCATTTTTTTTTGTTATAATATATACAATTCTTTAAGCACACATTTGTTTTTTTTAATTACACGTAAATAAATAGGACCAGCGTCAGCCGATGATAAGTCCAAACCATGACTACTACTACAACATGCAACCTCCTGGTGGTATGACCAACAATTGGCATACAGAAACGGCGGTACGCTACAACCCCCCTATGCACGGTCCCTACGACATGGCCCCTCCGTACGAAGCCCATCGACACCCAAGCATATCGTACGCATCAAGAAGCGAAATAACTCCCATTTCCCAACGAGAAAATAGCAGCAACAATAATAATAATAATTATAGCAGGAACGAGATTCCACAAAGGGACAACAACGGCTGCGGCAGGCACGAGTTACCCCCAATGTTACCGCGGGACGGTAGCTATCCCCCCATTGACGGTAACGAAGGGGGTGGTGGTGGTGTATTGGATCCGAGGATGATTGACAGACCGAGCATTGTTGATCTTCAAAGTAGCAGAGAACAAAGAGGTTCAGCCTTTGAACTGTATCGAAAACCAATGCATCATAATTTGAGGTAAATTGAGGTTTGGTTTGGTTTGGTTGGTTTTTGAGTGTATGTACACTGGTTTTGAATAGGTAATGGTTGAAATATACGTAAATACTGGTTTAAAATTAGGTGTTCTTCAACAACTTACATAATTAACATTTTCTCCTTCTTGGTATGCTTATAGTTCTTTTTTTCGCTTCTAACAGTACCCTCTTTGTATACAACATTAACAATTTTGATCATCTCAATGCATACATAATTCGATATGCCTTTGTTCGTAGTTTCTCCATTCTGCTTGACGTTGGTTTTTATTTCCTTCTACTTTGGTGCCTACAATTTTCGTGACTAAACACTAATTATAAAACAGTTCACCCTGCGCATATTAACACACGTTTTTTTCTTGTTTCAAGGGTGCAACAAAACTCTAAAGCTTTTTTCGGATCACAGCCTAATATAGCTCAAACCAATAACACCGATCACAGCACACCAAATACTAACCAATCACCAAAAATCACACCGAAATTGAAAAAGACACAGTCGTTCAACTGCAAGGGTGAGGGCAAAATAACGCCGAAACTGTTCAAAAAGTTCTCTTTCAAATATCGTAATAGAGAAAAAGGGTTACAAAATCACGACCAGCAAAAAAGTAATCCACCAAAATCTGTTCCTCTGCTGCTGAGTCAACGGCAGTTCGACTACAGTATTTACGCAAATACACAAAGAATACAGAATAGCAGGGACGTAACAGCCGCGGTGGTGGATCATAGGGGTGCGAAACTTGTTAACGCTTATTGGGGTGTTTCATTAGAGATACCAGAGAATGCTTTGAGAAAGGGGCTACAACAAGAAGTTTATTTTGTTATTACAGATCCGAGATTGTGTGAAAACGCTCCGCCATTGGACCTAGAAAATGGTACAGACATTTTAATTTGTTGGCATGTTTTTTTTGCCTAACACCAGAACCAAACCCAACCCTGTCCAACCTCACCTAATTTAGATGCTTAGAATTTAGTTGCCAGGTACATGGAATGGATGTACAACTGTGGTAGAACGTACTAATCTCCATCTGGCCCAGATATTTGAATGTCGTGTCAAGTTCGAGTGGTGGAAGAGTTTTGGCTTTAATACATTCCACAATGTCTTACTTTTTTTTTATTTTAAACCACTTCTTTTTGAGTCGAGACCAAAAAACTGGTTGCATGTTAAAAAAGGCGTGTTGTCATCTTGCTTTTTCTGTGCATGCGGCTGGCCAGTGTACATACTGGTTTTTTATCATTTTATATGAATTTTTTTGCAGGTGAAGCCATGCTGTCTCCTTTGGTAATGTGTGGACCTCAAGGTTAGTCCTTTGCATCTTGTCGTACCTTTTTTCTATGTAGTTGATGTGTGTTTTAGGGACAGAATTTTTGAAGCCTGTTACTCTTAGCATTCCCCATTATGCCAACACATTACCCAGTTTAGGAATCAGTTTGAAAGCGACTGATTCCGAAAAAGATTTGCATACCGATTGGGACAATATTTTACTCCCTAGCAATCACACGGCGAATTATGTTTCAGTAAAAGTCGATCATTTTTAATCTCTTTTAATTATTTTACTTTAAGTCGAATTTGTGCCTTTTTTATCTAAATAAGCAATACTCGAAAATCAAATGTTTTAATAAATCGTTGTAAATATTAAAAAGGTTTAACGTTATACTGATTAGTAATATTAGTATTCATTTGTGTTACTGTTAGGTTATAGTTTTTAAGCATTTGATCCCCTAGTAAGCAACCAGTTCCAAATAAAATATACATGGAAACAAAAACTGATTACGGAAAGTACAGGTGTGTTTCCATAATATCCATATATAGNCAGAAGTTAATGAATATTTTTGTATGATTTTTATCATTTATAAGTATGAATATTATTTTAAGCAATAAGTACCTTTCCTACGATATGTTTACCCTTATTCTTTCTTCTTTCATTTTATAATAAAAATTTTTTGAGAACAAAATGGGAGCATACAGTGAAAATGGTACTCCTCCATTATTTCAACATTTAATACACCCTTTTACACCATGCGTCAAGGCCAACAAAGTCCATAAAAAGGATATGTACTTCATGAACCATGGTATGGTGGTCTACGCCATGGATTCAGTTCATCAAGTAAATATCAATTTTTATGGACACTGAGCACATAGCATTACATTAAATGGCGCTTACCACGACGTTTGTAATCAATATTTAATTAAAAAATAAAAAAATGAGTCGCACTGCGATCAAGGGAGTTGAATGGTGTGGTAACCCTCTATCTCCCTTGCGTGCTTTTGTAGATATAAAGGCTGGAATTTTCACCCTCTAGAAATTTATAGAACATTCGAGAATGTTTGTGGAATGTTCGGGAACATCCCAGATTATTCTGGAACATACTCGAATGTTGTGGAAGATTTTGGAACATTGTGGTCCGTTCGAGGTCTTTTTTTATATGAGTGGGGCTACCTATTGGTAGGGGTATATAAAGCAGGATCCGTCGAGGATTCTAACATTCGGGAGCATTCCGGAACATTATAGAATGTTGTGGAATGTTCACGAATAGTCTAGAACATCCCAGATCATTATGGAACAGACTAGTCAGTATTGACGCCATATTGAAAATAGTGTGGATACACACTCCCGTTTGCTATACTACTACATTCATTTGTCTTACCAGTACAACATGGTGGCACACCAGTACAACATGGCGTCGAACATAACGTCATCAGCACAAAGCAATATGCTGGGTTATATTTCGAAGCACACCCCCAATAAACAGAAAACTGACCACCGTGAACTTTTTTGATTGTGTAATTCTTCACAAAGCGGTTATATTTATTCAATTTACGTAACAAAAACATTTTAAAGTAATATATTGTTATTCTTTTTCTGCCAGTACAACTTCCAAATGGCTCTGATGGCTCATGTAGGGTGTAATATGCCCGTGAGCCCTAAATGTTCTTCTGCGGTTTAGGGGTGCAGAATTTACTTTTATATGAAGGATATGCAGACGGTCTGTGTCCATTCCTTTGTATTCGGCATTAGAAACGGCATTTCTGAGAAGATCTAGTAAGAATCTTGCTGATTTTCGTGGCCAACGACCCTTAAAAAAGACCCTTATTTAGCTACTAAATACATCACTCATTACACTCTTGTGTTGCGTGTAGTATACGTTAAGGATTACTTTACACTTACTTGGGTTACTTTAAATTGTTTTGCTTGGGCGCAGCGTCCCACACCACCCTTAAACTTCTTAAAAGGAACACATTCCTTTTTAGCAATGACGTTTTTTAAATAGGCGTTCGCCCTTTTTATGGTCTTTCCGCGCAGAACGTTTGCCACTTCTACAGTATTTTTAAAATGAACGGGCATACTGGAAGCTTTTGCTTTGCAATAATTCTGTAAATCTATGTTTTTTAAGGAATACCCTCGACTTTTACCCATCTTTTAACGTTTCTTATTTAACTTGTTTTATTTGTTATAGCAACCGCAATTGTTTTTAAATTTTTGCTTAAACTATGCTTTCCTGCAACCAAAGCTGTCGTGTGGGTTGCATACGAACTATTCCTGATATCTCATTTATAAGCCGGAATGAAGTATATAAATTATTAAATATTATCTAAACGTAAACTAATCATCGACAAAAAATATTAAATTAATTCAATTTTAATCCACTATAAAGTTGAACTGATGAATACCGTTTTTAAAAATTGATGATTTTCAAACATATTTTCATTGGCCGAAATAGCTCAGTTGGGAGAGCGTTAGACTGAAGATCTAAAGGTCCCTGGTTCGATCCCGGGTTTCGGCAGTATCTCTTTTTTTATTAAAAATATTACTGAGTAAGTGTTACGGAAGTTTTCAAACCATGAGTGGGACCATCAAATATGGTTTTTATGTGTGTTTGTGTAGGGAAACAAACCCTGTAACCAATAATAAATTTATGATCATGTTGGCAACTTCCCATCCATAACTTTTATTCTGATTCTGATGTTTTCTCAACTGACGATTTATCTTTAGCAATGTCGGATACCTAATTGCGTTCCCTTCATCGAACAGGTCAAACAGAACCGTACTGAGGACGAATTTACTAGCATATTATTAAACATCAGTTTTTTCAAAACGATACCTTTCTATCGTAAAATGCACTTATACAATATATTGTACCAGACTGTACGTTTTCAATTTTTTTTCTAATAATTTTTGGAAACTGTTTCATCACAATTATACCGCATTTGCTTTTCATAACATTTGTTGATTAGATAGTTTCTAAAAGTGGTATATGCTGCTTGAAATTTTATATGAGAATGGACCTAGCGGCATGGCCTAGAGGTTTAGACCATTGCTTAGCATTCGGGAGGACGCCGGTTCGATTCCGGGTCCGTCCGCCTTGGTCCAAGTTTTTCTGTGGTTTCCTTGGATCACTTAGGCAAATGCTGAGGCAGTAATATTCCACAGATAATCTTTCACTCTCTTCTGTCTTCATTTCGTCCGTCGCATCTTTCTCACCCGAACCACCACCCACTCATTCCCACGATTCCTGAAAGCAGGATAAAGAGGGCCTTCCGCCCTACCTTCCGGCATAATCCGGAGGGATTGCCCGCCCACCAGCAATACTGGCTGGTGGGAATGAAACACCCAAAGTTTTTTTTTAAATATGAGAATGGAGCATTATTTTTTTTCGCTTGAGAAACGTTCCTTTTTTGAGTACGGACCTGATGCACCAATAGTCTGCATTCTCCATCTCCTTCTCTGTCTCGCTGCCCCGCCACAACGCGACGGGCAAGGCACGTCGACTATTTTGACGGGAAGGTCGGTCACATGACCGCTGTTAGTCGCGGGGTCCGCGACGAGCGAGGGGCGTCTCAGGCTAGACTTTCAACAACGACCACGGTCTGTGCTGGGTCTGAGGTGGCCGTGCGTGCGTAGTATGGTGTACGGATCTGCACCCGCGGTTCCATGGTGCAGGCGACAGAAAAAGGGACCATATTATACATAAAATAATTATCGCGAAAGCTATCGGACGTTGCCGCCATCATTTCGTATGTAAGTGCGTGAAGGAAAATCCCGATGGTGCGAAATGTTGTGCGTTTTGTTCGACAACAACAGCAGCAGCGTGTAGTTGCGGCGACTGCGCACAATTGGTGCGCGGATGTCACACCATTATTTCCAGACGACCACGATCCCTCTCTCTCGCGCTAGACACGGTTCGGTCGGGAAAGGTTGGAGACGGTCGTTGTTTAGTGTGTCTCGTTCTCGGCTGTTACGTAAAGTGAACGTAGCGAAAAAAAATATTAAACATACCTCTACCTACGCTCTGCGAAAATCATAATTCGTTTATTACTATCAACCAATAAATTACACTGTTCGTTGTTAGTCCAAGTAGCAGGTCGGCCGGGTATTCATACAAGCATGCATGTTATACTTTTGTTATATTCATTGTCGCTTTAAACGACAGAGGATAACAATAATACACACTTAGCGACAGTGTCTCGTTTTCAGCCGCAAAAACGTGAGACTTCATGCGGTAGCAGACGCAGTCGAAATCTGGTACTGTCTCTTCTGCTGCAAATAATAATACACGTTCGTCCGTGGTTTTTTTAACGTTATCCGGGCACACACAGACTGGATGGTGTGGTGGACGCTGTTATTTTTACAATATATTTAATTGCGTTTGTTGTTTCACATTCTTACAATTAGTGAAACGCTTGTAAGCTCAAAGAAAATTAAAATCTATGTTCGAACAAAGACGAGGGGTTGTTATTTTACAACACGTGATATTTATATGATCCCTCAGGGATAAGAGTGCGTGCGCGTGGTCGTCATTGACGAAAATGAAGGAGGTGACACCCCATTTAAAATGCGTACTAAAAAACTACCAACATAGTGCCACGAAAAGTCTTCAGGGTCCCGGGGGGCTCGCTCTGATTGTACCAAAATCGGAGCTTCCGTCTCCGGATCTAAAGGAAGAAGAATTCGTCGCGGCCCCCTTGCAAATCCAACAGTTTCCAATATTGTCTTCCGCCGACACAAGTAGCGAGCGTAGCGAGACAATATTAGAAGGCGAGACGATTTCCTGTTTCGTAGTAGGCGGTGAAAAACGCTTGTGTCTTCCTCAGGTCTTAAACTCGGTCCTGCGGGACTTTACGTTGATGCAGATTAATCAGGAGTGCGACCGATTGCAAATCTATTGTTCCCGCTGTACACCTGAACAGTTGAACGTGCTCAAGAATCAGGGAATACTGCCGAGTACCGCTCCAAGTTGCGGCCTGATCACTAAAACGGACGCGGAAAGACTTTGCAGCGGACTATTGCACGGTCAAGTGTACGCGACCAGTGTCGTACGTCCCCCGAAGGGCACCCTCACGTTCCGGGTGTATCACGAGTGTTTTGGCAAATGCCGAGGCACCTGCGTTCCCGACTTGTACACGAGTAAGGCGGCGAGGTGCATCGAGTGTCTTGAATGCACGGGATACTTTTCACCGCAGCAGTTCGTGTGTCATGTGCACAGGAACCTGGAGAACAGGACTGTCCATTGGGGATTCGATTCGGCCAACTGGAGGCATTACCTCAATATATGCAAGGATCAGCTGGATCACGAACGATTCGCAAGCTATCTGGATATCATGCAGGAGCAATATGAGGGCAAGGTGGCCTTTCCAACTCCCGTTGTAGAGACCATGCCTTCCAACAAGAGGAAACAGGTTAGTCACTACCTGTTTCCATTGCACTTTACTTGTTTACTAATCCTACGTTTTCAAAATTTTTTGGAATATCCAGTCGTGGATATCCTATAACTGTAGTCATCCGGCTGTAGAAGTTCTTTCTGAGATGCTTTGCCGGAGACCATGAGTTTTTGTATTGCGTTCGTTCGACGTCTCGGTTAGGGTCAGATCTTGATTAAAGGAAGAACTTTACGACCAGATATTCCACAAGTTAGGATTTTGTATCAGTTCAGACTTTGAAAACTGGAGCACGTTAATAGTGCTTCAGTTGAGTTAATTATTTTTATATTTATATCTACGATTAAGGTTTTTTAATTTTGCTATCATTGTATAATATTAGAATAGTTTATTTTCCTAAGAAGAAAGCCTGAACTGACACTGACAGACATTCTAATTGAGTTTGCTAATCTAATAAATAGGATGACGATGATGTCAGCCGTGCTAGCGATTGTGAAGAAGACAAATTCGAATCTTTTTCATTTCAACAACTAAAATTTGTTTTGTGTTAACGACACACAAGAGGTGGTTGGGACAAATCTATAAAGAGATTGTCATAATCTAAGTACTCCTTTGTCTGAGTTTTTTCTTCAATTGACCACATCTTATCAAGAAACCACAGCACAGTCTGTTTATCTTATGAACGTCGACCCTTCGAACAAATGCGCATAGGAAGCGTAAATTATTGTTGACCAATTTCTAAAAACACAAAATCCTTGACGATTTATTTTCTTAGGTTCTTATCTTAATTTTTTTGCTATCTGCGGTATTTATAGGAGCCAGTGTAAATGAAAAACATGCTTACAATCGTATATCTAAGGAGTTTTATATTAGCAAACAATTATGTTTGTATGAACCGAAAAACTGTAACTTTATTAATAGGCCGTACTCCATTTCGGCCTGTTAACTTCTTGACCCCTTCAATTGAGAGACGGACAATTGGTTTTTTGACCGAAGTCTTAGACATCGCCGCCGTTTAGAGGGAAATGACTATTCAATTCCATAATAACTTCATGTTTTATAACATTGACATTTAATTTTATAATATCGTAACTAAACAGGCAAAGGCTAACATTATTTCTTTACGTTTTTAATGCGACAAGTCGAAAATTTAGAAGTTATTTGGAGAAAATCCACAGGTTGATTGTTTATTTGTTCATGTTATGACTGCTGATTGGTTTGATGAATCTATTTCTCCATCACATGGGTTTTTGATCTTTAAACTATAACCTGACCCTGTCAACCCTTCCCTCCAGGTTATCTAGATAATACTCCCATCGTTAACGTAAATGGCGTCGTTAAAGTTTCCGAACCATTTTATCGCGCTCCTCTTTCTTTTCAATTGTTTCGTCCGTGCAACATGCTATAAAATAACTATTAAATTTCTTCAAAGGTCCATCCTTGTTTATTACAAATGTGCGGAATCAATTTCAGCGCCTTTGAAGTTAAAATTAGAACGCGACTCTGAATTCTAAAGCTGGGAACGAGTCGTCTTCAATTAATCAGTGCAACAGCTTTTAATTTTGGTTAATGTAATTTTATCGGTCCATTTAATTGTAGTTTCTCCATTCCTTGATAAGAGTTTAGTGGATTTTTGGTGACCATGACTCCAATATTTAAAACAGATTTTGGATTTTTAATCCAAAAGGCGCTATTGTCTAGGACGCATCATCACTTTCGGCGATTCTATAATGCTCCTTATGATGCCTTATTGAGCAAAGAGATCTTTGTGGATTCAGTGAGTTCTATCAAATTTTTGTTTGGATTTTAGAATGATGGTGATGTTGATAAGGTAAAGTTGATGGAACTCAAGTTGAAGCCCATGGATCTTTCGTAAGAGCGGTTCGCTTGTGTAGAAGTAGATGTTATTATTTATTCAAAATATGTGCTAAAGAATTAATAATAGTAATAATGATCTAATTGGCAATGGCAAGAAGCAATACAATGTACATGGTTTAATTGGTCCGATGCGACAGTATACGGAATGCAATGTGATATTACTTTAATGACACTCTTGTCTTTCTCTCATTTGCTCGCTTATTCTGTTTTTCATGTGAGGCTGTGCATTTTTCGAATTCTATACGTAGGCTGATTGCTGCGGTGGAAAATGTTTACGCGACGTTGAACCTGACTGAATGAGTAATAGAAGTAACGAATAAGAATGAGATTGTCCCTTCAATATTTTTTTTTTATAAAACTGCATCTTTATTCCTTAGAATCAAAAATTTTGATCGTGGCTCATGATGGAGATCCCCGATATTCCTAGGCTATTATTTTTTTCTCATACTGTCATCATCATAAGATCGTCAGTCTGGTTGGATACGCACCTCCACTCTCTCCTATCCTGAGCTAATCTTCGCATTTCCCTAAAACTAGAACAATCCACATCCTTAACTATTTGCGAACAGTAATCTAATCTAGGTCTACCTCTACCCTTCCGAACTTCCGTTTGTGCCTGTAACATGTCTCTGACTGGACCTTCATGCCTGAGAAGTTGTCCTACTAACCTATCTGGCCTATTCCATATTGACTTCCATAGAGTCCTCTGTTCTCCTATTCTTTCTAATACCTCTTCATTTCTAACCTTCTCTATCCACGGTATCCTCATCATTCGCCTGTAACTTCACATTTCGAACGCTTCTAATACTGGTACCTATGTAGACTTCCGAATCGAGTGAGCCGCATGTTTCTTCTTCTTGAGAAAAGGGTTTTTGGATTTGATTATAATATGAATTGCAGTTCCATTATACAGACTCTTCATTCGACTGCGTAGCTTGTTCCTTAGAGAAAATGATTCTTGATTTAATTTGGAAGGCTTAAAATTTTATGCCACGATGGGGAACTCAGTCTTCCTGAGTTATTCTTCTTCCTGTTTCTGATACACCAAAAAGGATTGTAGAGATATCTTACAGAGGTACATGTACGAACAGTAAATTACACGCCCACTTAACGAATTGTGTACCCTCGGGGCATTGGAATTCTTTCGCGGAGGTCTTTGAAATCGGCATGTTCAAGTTTAATAATTAATTGCGTTATTTACATACACAGATACGTATCGCACACCACAATATCTGGTTGGTTGTCTCTGCTCTATGCAAAAATGCAGAGAGACATCGAACAAGTTGACCTCCATCTACCTAATCCACAACGTTTTCTATTGATGGTAATAATATTTATGAGCCGATCGATTCGACTATAGATAAGTCGATAAATGAACTTTCAAACGCCTTATACATCTATCTAACATTTTTAGCCTAAGTAGTAAGGGTTGTAAATAGACTGTTTGTAGGTCAACTAGGGAGTACCTAAGAATAAGCTTAGGTTTCTTTCAATTTTGAAAGATGCAATTTACACAGATCTACACTCAAATGTTATAGATTTATTTATATATGTATATGACTTGTGCTGAAGTCGACAGGTGCTAGTCATTAAAGTTACTCTTGTGTTTAACTGCCACCTTCACCTGTATTTAATACACTTATGTATATTCATGAAGGTATTTCGTCACATCCTAAATATTTTGACCTGCAGTTTGCTTTGAAAATTAAATTGACGAAGCTTTCGTAATAATGAAATAAGCACAATGCAAATTATTGTACCAATGTCCATTTGACCACACGGTGGCTTCCTCAGATGATAACTTTTTTCTGTTTTTCCACAGTTTTCTTTGTTTCTGTTGTAGAAATATTTATTTTTTCTTGATTGATCGCGCTGGTGCTGTTTAAAAGTAGATGTTTTGTGCATGTAGTATATTATAAGGTTTTTTGTTTCCTTCACATTCTCTGTTATAATTGTTTTATTTGCTGTTCCGTGTCACAGCGCCTACTTAAGTCGTTTTATTTCCCGAAAGTTAATAACGATGACCGGACCGGCTGGCGCCTGGCTCTTCAACGTTTGCATTTCATTTAGGTCCCTGACTGACTATACGCCGCGACAGACGGATGCTCTTTTAATGTTTGTACGAAAAATTCTTGCTCACTCAAATATTTATAAACCTTCATCCATAACGCTGCCAATGAAGGTAAAACCGTTATATACAGTGGCGAGATTGTTTGGCGCCTCAATTGCCAGAACCCTCCAGTGTACTGTACCAGGCCTTCTGGTACTCGTCAGCTAATCTGTTTTGTTTTTGTTTCCGCTACATACCCGTGTGTATACCGTGGATAGGGAAGGTTAGAAATGAAGAGGTATTAGAAAGAATAGAAGAACAGAGGACTATGGAAGTCAATAAGAAATAGGCGAGATAGGTTGTTAGGTCACCTCTGGTATGAAGGGCTAGTAGAGACATATTAGAAGCAGAAACAACAGTTTAGAGTAGATTAGATTACTGTTCGCAAATAGTTAAGGATGTGGGTTGTTCTAGCTTTGGGGAAATGCGAAGATTAGCTCAGGATAGGGAAGCGTGGAGGTGCGTCATAGTCATAGGACTGACGATCTATTGATGATGACATCCCCGCTTAAAATTTCTTTGGATTTTAACAAATTAGAATGAAATGAGACAATTCATAATCCTGACTCCACAATTTTTGCGTTGGAGAAACGTACTTTCTGTCCGTAATACGCCTATGTCTATTTTATGCAGACATGCGAAAACGCTTTAGACACATCACCGTTATTACACAGATGTGTATACACATGTGTATGCATTCATGTACACTATAATGATTACATAATGCTTTGTGATCTGCATACACATACACATAGTTACGAGTCTATGTATGTTTGCGACACTTAATTTGATTATCATTGACGAGTCAGCAGAATTCACGGCCTATTTTTTTATTTGTGTAACTCGGTTACTACCTCGGTTTCGTTCAAAAGGGTTATTGTCGAAGAACACCATTGTATATGGGGACGAGATTGTATCCCGTAGAATAGGAACCCTGCAATTTATTGGAACAGTACCCTTAAATATCATATTAAGTTAATTGTACGTATGTACGTAAAAATATTGTGAATTTTTTATCTAATATTCTCTAGTG